TTTAGAGTTGGAAGGGACCTTGTAGGTCATCTAGTCCAACCCCCTGCCCAAGCTGGAGACCCTACACTATTTCTGACAGATGGCCATCCAGTCTGTTCTTAAAAGCTTCCAGGAACCATTGGGTTTGCCGTTTTTTAAAAATCTACCTGTTTCATGTTCTCGCAGTTATGGAAACACCCCAAAATGTAGTAACAGCCCCTTGGGCTTCGGACCAGGTTTTGCTTATTTGAAGGGAGGTAATCTTAGATTGAGGGGTTTTATGACTCAAAGGATGGATAAGAGGATGGCTGTTTTTCAGCCCTTAAAATGCCAAATTGCAACACTGGTTAGGGAAGGATATGGGTGATGCATAGAAGTGAAGTTATGTATATGGGACATTCAAGTAGTCTTCTACTTACAACCATTTGTTCAAAGTTACAACATCATTGAAAATTTGTCTTGCAACACAGGCACAAAATCCAGAAGTGATATCCTAATTAAAAATACAATATTCCCCTCTTCGAATAGAACAATCAATCTAACCCTTAGTTCTTTACCTGGCCTGCTGTTGAAATAATACCTATTTCTATTTGCACTTAATAATCTTTACAAACGATCACCATTTATATTAACAAAATTCACATCATTCTTTCAGGTTCTTTAACCTTAAAGGGAAAAATATGTTTTTTTTTTTCCATCTATTTTAAAGCACTACGCTTTTTAAAAAAAGAATAAAAAAATAAAAATGGAAACTTTGCCTGTGGTTTTGCTGATGAGATAGATTTGTTGTTATAGAGAGCATTAGTTATATACTAACATGTAAAAGTAAAAAGTTGAGGTTGTAATGTTATCTTGTACAGTGCTTAAAAGAGTGGGAAGTCTTTTTTTCTTCCGTTTCTTTTTCCTTTTCTTAATTTCCTATTTTTCTTTTCCCCCCCTCTCTTTTTCCTTCCCTTAATTCCCCATTTTTGTTTCTCTTTGTATGTAAAACATGGACAAAACAATAAAAGTTATACGTGAAAGAAAATTCGTCGTACAATTACTCCTTGCCATTAAAACTGTGGTAACATCCCTTACAGTCATGTTTTTCAAAATTCAGGATCTTGGCAACTGGAATGTAGTTGCTTTGTGACTTTCTCAGTTGACTTTTAACAAGCAAAGTCCATGGGAAAAGAGAGACTTGTTTAATGACCGTGTGATTCACTTAACAACCACAGCGGTTGGCATAACAATTGTGGCAAAAAAAGAAGAAGGTAAAATTGGACGTGACTTTCACAACAGCCATCTTGCTTAGCAATAGAAGTTGGCTGAGATGGACTGGGGAATTCTGGGAGTTGAAGTCCACACGTCTTGTTGTTCTTAGTTGCGAAGTTGTGTCTGACGCATCGCGACCTCATGGACAACGTTCCTCCAGGTCTTCCTGTCCTCATCCATTCCCCCAGAGTCCATTTAAGCTCACATCTACTGCTTCAGTGACTCCATCCAGCCTCCTCCGTCTCTGCCGTCCCCTTCTTCTTCTTTTTCTCTCAATTTTTCCCAGCATTCGGCTCTTCTCCGGTGAGTCCTTCCTTCTCGTGAGGTGGCCAAAGCCTTTGCCTTTTATCTTCAGGATCTGGCCTTATAAAGAGCAGTCAGGATTGATCTCCTCTGGGACTGATGGTCTTGCGGTCCAAGGGATTTGCAGGAAACTTCTCCAGCCCCAGAGTTCAAAGGCCTCCATTCTTTGGCGCTCAGCCTTCCTTACGGTCCAACTTTCACAGCCATACATTGCAGCTGGGAAAACCACAGCCTCGACTCTAAGCACTTTGGTTGGCAGGGTGATTGATGTCTCTTCTTTTTAGAGACACACATCTTATTAAAGTTGAGAAACAAAAGTGTTATGCCTCTGAAAAGCAGCAGGGTGTAAATCTAACCGCATCCACTGGAGGTCACTAGGACTATAGAGAAAAAAAATGCTTTAATCCCAACTCTTCAAAGTCCAGAATTATTATTATTATTATTGGCTCTAAGGTAGGCTAGTGAAACATGGATGCTAAACTCACAATCGAGACAAAAGCTACAACGGGTTCAAAGAGCCATGGAAAGATACATGTTCGGCATCACAGGACAAGATAGACCTGCACGTGGATGAGACCACAAACGAAAATATACGATGCCATCAAAAGAATTGTAAAAGAATTGAAATGGGCTGGTCACGTAGCAAGAAGAACTGAGGGCAGATGGATCAAGGTGGTCGTAGAATGGATCCTGCTTCATCAGAAGCGTCCATGAAAGAGATCTAAAACAAGATGGATGGATGACATCAACAAGTATCATTATTTTTTAACAACCCCATAATCCTTTGTGGGGTGGAATTGGGGCAACTGAATGGAGCTAGCAGAGTGCTTACTGCCCGGATGCCCTTCCTGTCACCAATGCGGAATTTTGTTCAGCAGAACAAGTTGAAGATTACTTGTATATCATCATCATCATTATCATCTCCTTTTAACAACCCCATAATCCCTTGTGGGGTGGAATCAGGGCAACTTAATGGAGCTGAGTGTTTACTAGCCGAATGCCCTTCCTGCCCCCAGTGTGGAGTTCTATTCAGGAGATATATTCTCATTGTACCCAGAGAGGGAAATATCTGCCTCTACATAGGATCGAACTCACAGCCTCCTGATTGGTGAAGCAAGAGCCCCACCTCTAGGCCACTGCTTCACTCCAGACAAAAATCAGCAAGTATGGTGGCCCCAGTTGGCAACAAAAGCTCAGGACCGTTTTGGTTGGAAACACACAGAACAGGCTGTCATGCCCCAGTTGGACACTGATTCCGAGGGAGAGGTGGAACAGCTGACA